TTCTTCCTACCAAACTGATAAACTCAGCTTTTGACATGAAAGAACAACTAGATGTGACAGATTTTTGTACCATTAGAAGTTAGTCTTAGCAATGAGTACTATTTTATTACATTCTAGGGTCATGCACATCTCATTACTAAAAAATGGCACCTACCAGAAGAAATATATATAATAACATAAAGAGGAAATATTGATGAGATTAGGCACTATCTGCAAATTTGCAATTGTCTGTATCTGTTAAAAACTGGAGCACGCAAGTCAACAACCAGGAATGATAGAGATTATACTAATAAGCAGAGGTTAATTGCAGTGTCAGAGAGGCTTAGTAGAATGCAGTCACATATTGCATATTTGAATGCGTAACACTGTGAATTAAGAGTTTGGAAACTAAGTGCACACACACAATGTTAACACTGCCTTCATTGGGATATATGCAACAGCCCTCTGCAAGCTCCTATTAAATTCACTAAGCACCCAAATTTGCTTTTGTCATTCTCACTGCTTCTGCACTGATTAAAGAACATCTCAAATGTGATGTTGAAAACTGATGCCTCTTGCAAAGTCCCTCTCATCATGGAGATGGTGTGACTCTATGAGAAAGAATAAGGAGGGAAAGAGGGACGTAGAAAAGATAGATGACAGGAAAGAAACACAGTCCCTTCGTCTCATCATTGGTGTTTACTACATATGGTCAGATCGAGAAAATAAGAGCTTTATCTTCATCACAAGTCTATGTGAGATACTACTTGGACTGAGAAGCAAAGACACCCTTTCTTGCTCGATGCTTGGTCTTCACAGGACTGCAGGAAGGGCAAATTCTACCAAGACAACAAAGTAGAGCCTCCCAGGTTTTTTTTTGTACACATCTGTGGAGCTGTAAAGCTCAGCACACACCATCGTCTTTCCTCAGTTTCACTTCCAGCCCTCTCAGATCAACAGAATTTGATGAAGTTTGAGCAAATATTGTGTCGTTCACAACTGAGCTGCTGAGTGACAGAAACACAAAAAGCAGGGATGCAAGGAGTTCCTGGCTCATTTCTTTCTTTCCTCATTTCAGTTCCAGAATTGAGAATTTAATAAAAATAATTCAGTACACCGCTATCACATAAACACAAGACAGAAAGAGAGGAAGGAGAAAGGAGCCTAAGTGAACATCAAGCCTCACATAAACTAGGCATAATGAAGAAAAACAGCAGCCCATTTTTCTTCCCTTTAGTATGCAGTGAATGTGCAGTTCCTGCAAGCGTGCATGCCTTGTGCTTCCTATTAACAAGGTGCACATTAATAAATTTAACTCAGACAAATTTAACCATCCAAGGACCACATTAATCAAAAGCCTGACAAGACCAAACTGAAAGAGCTGAGTGAGGAAAACAAAGCACAGCTGACATGGAAGATGCCATGCCTTCATCGTCCCTGCGCTGCTCCCACTGTATCGGCTTCCCCAGTACTGCAATAATTCCTTCCCACTGCACTCCTACTGGGAGTATCATGCTCTCCTCCCAGCACTCTTCACCCAATGTCTCTTCATCAGTGATGTTTCCCACTCCTCGTGCATCTGCACTGCAGGAGCATTTCAATCAAAGTACAATCATGTGCAACAGCTGGAGCCCTAAGAGTTTTGTATTTTACCTGAGCCACTGGTACTATTGAAAAGAATATCTCCAGGTACAGATTAACACATGTACAAAGCAGAAATAATAAATGTGATAGAAAAGTAAAATGGCTATAGCTCCTGAGAACTACGAATTAGACAGACTATAGAAGAAGTAGGAAAGAAAAAGGGCCATTAATTTTTATTCAATACCTATGTGCAAGTCCACGAGTGCTACAGAATCACTCTAAAGCTGAAATGTATACGCGCGGATACTCTTCAAAAGAATGGGAGTTACTACTGGGAAAGTCTCCCCTCCTTGGCTCTCTCATAGTTACTGCTTCTGAGTTATGTTTTTAGCCTGCAAAATATTGACAAACAGACCCCTCCACCAGCCACCCCACTTCACACAAGATGAGGAAACTAAGAAGCAACTGTTGATCACAGCCACAGAAAGCAGCAGCACAAATTAGACTAAATGCGTCTCCAAAAGCCATAATTATCCAAGCTCAAACAAAATAAGCATATACGTGGTTATTCACATTTGCCTGGAGGCATCCTCACAGCTTAAAACACATGGTGTGCTTGCTCTTCTTCCACTTGATAAAACAACAAATATTTTCATCACCTAAGAGTATTGATGGTTACATTTATAGTCTTGACATGAGAAAACATGAGGAAAATCTGTTGCCTTGCCTTGACACTGTCTCTCCCCTAGCCAATTTCTCTTTGAGCTCAGGCAGTTGGGTTTTGTACGTATTCTGGCTTGATTGAGTTCAATTGTTTCATGGATAGATTTAAGAAGTCAATATTACTGCTTAGCAAAGCTTCAGTAGAAGAATTTATTGGCACACCATACCGCAGGATTTTGGTCAGAACTAAGAGTTTCAAATGGATTCCTGTAAGATCACAAAACAAGAGATATTTATATCTTGAAAATGAAGAGGATTTGAGACACATAACTAAGATTTGAACCCAGATATTACAACAACCCAAAGCATTTGAAATAAATACCTGTTTGAAATGTTCACAGATTGATGAATCTTTCAGCAAATCTGTGCTTAATGCGTAGCCCAAGCATACAGCACACTGGGAGGTGTGGAAAAAACCTTGCCACAGACAGGTTAATGACCTTTGAAAGCCTGTCAGACTCGACTTCAGTGCTGCAAGATGCATTCTCAGAGGACAGAGTGCTTCAGAAAAAGGCAATGCCTTCTAATACTGTCACTTTTACTTCATGATACTCCCTAAAAGCAGCACGCCTCTTGGGTTATGATTGCTCTGGTCAGCACTGTTTTCATTTCCTCATGATCCTCATTTCTGAGTATCTGTGCTTCTCAGTTGTCTCAAATACAGCTGTAAGCTCTGCATACACAGAGGTCATCTATTCTGTGCTGTAGCACATCTGGCACAAGGTTTCAGTTCACTGCTATCTCTAAGGACTGTAGATGACACAGTTTAGCACATGATCACCATATGCAATTACAGTTCCTTCTTGTGACAGGAACCAAAGGTAAAAACATCCCTAACTACTCCTGCTTGACTTCCATTGGTATAAGTCTATGATTTTCTTCTTCTTTGTCCTGATCACTGTGTCTGCATGCCTGCAGACTGCAGCATGCTGTTGGGTCAGTCAGCAAGATCGGCACTTTTTGTCTGGGACAACAGATGGATATTTCGAAATTGAAAAGCAAGCCTCTGCAGAAAGTCCTTTCAAAGCAAACGTGCTTAATCCAATGTTTAGCACACTCACTTATCATGTGACTGACCCACATCAAGTTCTTGCTTTGTTCAATCAAACCATTAGCTCACTTTTCATTTTGTACCCTTGCTGGAAACATATATTAATTGGGGCGGAAAACCTTGTTCACTGCATATCTCATCTGGGTGATTCCAATCTGCAATTCCAATTTCAGTTGCCCTACTAAGACCATGTGCCAAGAGGTTTGAAAATTGTTGTACATATCTAACATCTAAACAGGTGACCACCTGCTGAGTGCCAAACATTTTCCATAACCAGTTTCCCCCACCACAACTCCCACCCACTGGTTTTCTGTTCTGTATTATCATCTATCACAGAACAAAAGTTCTTAGGGGCAGGAATTCTCTCTTCATGGCAGGTGCTGTTCATGCCTGACACAGCCAAACTCCATTATCATGTACTGTATGTGATATTGTAATGTAAACAATGCTAATAATAGCTAAGCCAGCAATATAATTTTCTCTCTGACACTGCCTCCAGTTGCCACCATTAAGGCTGTCTGCAGGCAAGCACCTGATGAACTCCCATGTAGGCTCTGGTTGGCAATTTTTTAAAGTTTGCTTTAAAATTTCAACCTCAAAAAGTACGTTTATGCTCAGAAACTTGCTAATTCTGGAGTAAATGCACTGGTACAGGTTGCTGAAAGAGATTGCTGAGTCAGTCTCCTCTATGGAGGTGTTCAAGACTCATCTGGACATCTACCTGTCAGATCTATTGTAGAGAACCTGCTTTAGCAGTGGGGTTGGACTTGATCTCTAGAGATGCCTTCCAACCCCTGCAACTCTGTGATTCTGTGATTATTATAATGAGATCTGAGCTCAGGATGATTATGTTAATGTCAGCATAACAGCTGTCACTCTAACCCCGAATCAGGAGAGACAGCAATAACTTCCCCAACTCCAACATTTGATGTTCCTTTTAGTTTATGTACTTGGCATGGACATTATGAGATGTTCAACTCAATTATCACCACATACTTCTGAAAGGAGAATTCCATCATAGAATATATTACAGAATCTCTTTGGAAACAGCTAGCCAAATATCTCAGTGAGATAACATTAAATATTTGCATATCAAGCCATAAGATCCTAAAGCAATGTAGATCTAAATCTAGAAGTTCTCCACTTATGTTACAGTTATCTGTAAGAGCAGACGAAAGAACTCTTTGTGCCTTATTTCAGACTCAGGGGAAAAAAAAAAGGTTGCTCTCTTAATTCAACCTATATGAGGGTAGTCTGGGTAGTCTGACATTTCAACTTGAAAGTCAAAGCTAATCCAATGTGATGCTAACCAGAATCTTCTTGTCATTTGCTTTTGTTTACACAAACTAAAGTAGCATCATTAGTCAAAGCCATTGGAGGTCTAAATTTTTTACTTTCACAGTTAGAAATAATCATCTTTAGACTTGGCATGGCAGAAATGATAATCACCAGTAGATAGCATACCTTCAGTCAGAACTAGGGCAAAATGCAGGGAGCTATACTATGTCCAGATGGAGCTTCTGGGCATACTGGAATTCGAACAGTCCGTTTCAATTATTGTACATACCTGGGAGTGATCTCGTACTTTTTTGGCAAAGAAAGGCAAGAAAAAAATCAAGTTACTAGCATATTTTTTGTTTCAATACTTCATTTGTCTACTTACAGAATTGTTCCAAGTCATCACTTGTTTTAGATTCTGGCATAGCAGTGATTGTGAGCAATGGGCATGTATTTCCTCCTAGTGTCTGGCAAAGCGCTTGTTGCCTCCAGTAGACCTTCTTGGGGTTCCTGCTTTGTTCCAGGACATCAAGATGGGACTGAGAAAGAAGAAAATAAGCAGATCCATCAATGAGTCCACTGTCGATAAAATCTCATTTTATTCCACTATCTGTATGTCATTACTGGCACTCATTTTATCTCTTGCTAACTTACCAGCTCCTCCCTCCTTCCAGTTAATATCATCTCTTTGTACATGCCATCAATATCCATGAGCCATTCAGAATGCATCCTCATTCACCAAGGCTGCACATGATATTATTATCTATGTCATTTTACCAGCACAGCTCCTAGGTACCTTTATCACTGCAAAGGAATTTCTATGCATGCATGAAGTCCAGAAGAAAATCACATGTTCTTTATGTATAGGCACCATGTAGTGTGTGTGAAAAATTGTCCTTTTTAGCATTCATAGAACTGGCTGCTTAGCTGTCAAGCATGTATTGTTGAGACTCAAGAACAAGTCCAGATTAGAGGCAGTCAAAAAGTTTACATGAAAACATTTCGTATCATCATTAATGGATAACACGAGCAAGTGTATCTTTCTAAGAAAGCACTTAAAAATGAGAGGTTTTATTTTTTTCCCACCAGATTTCATGGTTGCCAGTTTTAAATAATTCTTAACATACAACAGCTTCTTGAGAAATTTGAGAAAACGAATAGTCAAACTAAAAACAAGATCTTTTTGGAACTATTTCTGATCGCCTCATCAGACACACAGCCCTTCACCACCCACACAGCAGATGATGTGCAGATCTCAGTGGCTCTCTGTCTTTATACTGTAAGTGAAAGTAGCAATGATACTTCAAGTAACCCCACTGCAGGGTGCTGCTAACTGCTGTGGAATACAAGTTGACTAGCTGTCTCTAGACAGGTAGAAATAGACATATTGCAGTATGCATGATGCTAGCAGAACCTTAACTACAGTGCATGAGGACACAGAGCAACCTTTACATTCCAAGCGTTTGTGCTAATGAGTCAGGGCTAAATCTTAGCCAGCGTTTAAGGGACAAGACGTTTATGTTCCTAAAACCTCAAACTTCATCTTTCAAACTGCTTTCTCAGTGACCACTTGAATGTAAACACAGAGCTGAAATTTACAGTCATCTATGCTGTAAAACAATTAACATACTGCTCTATAAAGTAAATTCAATTATTAGACCCATTTAAAGAGCTTACATAGATACAGATAACTCAATATCATGATTTACTTATGTTTCTAATCCCAGTGAAACTTAATTGGGTACAATAGCCACAGAGATTTCAGCCAGATATCTAAACAATTAACACTATAATATAAAAACAGATAAATTACTGTTCATAAAATAAATATAATTACTAATGGACAAAAAGTAATGAACTGCAGAGTGCACTCAGATCAAATAGGATTCCACAGCATAGTAAATATGCCTGTAACTATTAAATATATATGATATTTTAAAACATTTCCAAATGACTAACTCCAAAAACGGGTTTATCTTCTTCCCCAAAGCACCATATATTTAATTGAGCCCTTGGGTTCCTAATCACTTTTAATTTATTACTGATATGTAAAATCAACGTATTCCAGCAGTGGTCAAGTGCTTTAAACTAAAATCTGCTGGTGCACAGACCTGATTTTAGTTTATTCACTGTGGAAATTGAAGTAACATGGAAATGTGTAAACTGCATCACTCAGGATATTCTAAACCATTCCAAGCAAATAAGCTTTTTAGAATTATTAGATGCAATAATTTTGCTTTGGCTAAATAGCTGGACAGAATAATCTATTGATCTTTTCCATCCATAATTCTCATTTACCAATTTTTATGGTCCTAACTGAGCCTGAGTTCATTTGAACTTTTCCAGAGGCAAAATTTCCTTCAACTTCAATGAGCATTTTATTTGAAGAGGTAGTGAAATACTTCAAGACTTGGCCCTGCAAGTCCAGGAATAATCTCTTTTTCATCTCTATTCTATTCATTCAGGAGTAGGTGAGATATTCAGTGATTCCCAGAGCATAGAAACTCTCCAAGACTCTCCTGCTTCTTTTGCCGGTGGAAGGTAGAAATCAATAACAGTAAAATGATGATGAGGCATCGCATCTCCATAATAAAGTATGGTGGCTTACTTCTTCAGTATTACATTTGTCTTCTCCCCAGCAGTATATATGTGCCCTTAAGGTCAAAACCCACTCCTGGGACAGAGCCTTTTCCTCACCGATGCGGAGGAATAGTTGGTAGCCATAAGCCTGATGAGGAGAGTGCTGGTAGGCACAGTTTGGACCGTGAAGGCCTGAGTGGCTTTCTCCCGGATACTGAAAAGCAGTTTCTTTAAACATCCCTAATGGGATGCAAAGCACTTGACAAGAGGCTGGTTTTCAAGAGGGAATTAATCTAATTAAACCATGCTGGCAGCATACAGAGCTGCAAGGCTACGAAGTGAGAGAGTACTTTGTACTCTGTCTCCCTCAAAAATCTGTGTATACTTTCATATCTAATAATGGCAAATTAATATCCATGTAAAAATTAGAATAAGTCTTTTTTTTTTTTTTTTTAAAAAAAAAAAAAACAAAACAAACCACACTGGTTTGGTTTCAGAACTAAAAAGGCTAGCAGGAGAAATTTTTATATATAAAAATACATAAAAATATATAAAAATATATAAATATATATATATACAGATATATACACACATATAAATACATAAATATATATATTTATTTATTTATTTATTTATTTTTGCTAGAGAGCAGAAATGGTGGGTAAAAGACTGACCTACAGGATCACTCTTCATTTGCGGTAATATCTTTTCTACCCTCAGCAATGAAGCAAAGCAAATCCCAGAACCCTTCATTTCCCTTCTTTTATTCTACTTTCTATTGATATCTTTGGTTCTCCCACATTAATCTGAGAAAATATATTGGATGTGTTTACCAGAAAACTTCTTTAACATCCACTTTTGACCAGAAAAGACTATAGGAAATAAATCTTTCCCCAAAAAGTAAACAAACACCTCCTACTACTCCAACTGGAACAGATAAAACAGCTGGCAAGGAGGATTTGAATGAAACCCAGCACTGTGGTATCACTCTGCTTCTGGGTGTAGCGCTGAAAGCCGAGCTGCTGTCTTCTATCAGAAGCAGCAGTGAGCAGCCTTCACTTCTGATTTGTCATTACCTTTAGAATCCTCCTCCTCCTATCAGGGGGATACCACATCTCCAAGCAAATGGAGACGTCTTTGGTTTGCACTGTCTTACAACTGTAATGTTTGCACTCCAGCTTATTGCATAACAAAATCATTTTTCCCACAACATGCTAACAAAGCCTGCAGCTTCAAGTAAGACAATGAGAGCATCATGATAATTAAAAAACTCCTTGTGGGAGCAGACCTCTGTGCTATCACAACATTTCCTCATCCTCAAGCAGCTCCAATCTGTCAGGCCTGCTGTCTTATCTAGATGGACATATCAGCATTACCATCATTGCAGAGTAGGTGTAGGGGTAATGGTAGGCCAGATAGCAGACATCATCTTCGTGAGGGAACTTGATGCTGAAGGTGAGAGTGTAATAGCATTTTCCTCTTGAGCCTCCTCCTGGAGCTGCACTGCAGCAGTAGTGGTTTCTGAAGGAAGAGAAAAAGGGAGAAGTAGAGAGTTATCACTTCCAGACTCAACCCACTGTTGTGCAAAGCCTGGGAAGGCCGCATGCAAATATGATCAATCCAATCCCAGTAACAAGGGCAAAAAATAGAACAGTGCTAAACAACATTCTGTAGTATAACAATGCATCTATCAGCTGTATGAAAAGTAGGAAGGTCTGATAAACTGTGGTCCTGCTAGACATAAAAATGTAAGAAACATCATGATTTTAAGCACCACTGAGCAAACCTAGTTTCAGGGCTCTGTTGGGATTCACTGTCCTCACAGGCAGGTAAGCAAAAGAACATTACAGAACAGCATGTAGCAGTGCTGAACACAGCCAGTCCCAGCTGCTCCAGGATGGGAACTCTCATAGGAGGTAAGAGGTTATTTCATTTTGTGAAGGTGAAAGTAAAAAAACAACTAATGCTAGTTCACATAGTGCAGTCTAGATATTTAAACTAACATATTCAGCTAACATGGCTGTATTGCTTCCAAGATTCAAGATAAAACTTCTTATTGACATGCCTGAACAATTCCGTATGAAAATATTCTGTGAAAGCTTGAAGACTTCAAAAAGACAAATAACTCACTAGAATATGAAACCAGACATTCAGGAAGACAAAGGATAATCCAGGAAAAACACAGGCCATTTATAAAAACCTTTCAAATGTCATCAATGGCTCCCTCCTGAGTAGGAAGAGGAGGGAAATGGGTTTTTATGGAGACTGCCTACAGAGACTTGACTTCACGTATATTTGCAATTTAAAAGCTAACCAAAAATCCTCTTTTGGAACTCCCCTTTTCAAGTCCTTTTCAATCTCTCCCTGTAAGGGAACATGAGGGTCAATTTCTCCCTAGGAGACACGGGACTGGGCTTGACATTGAAGCTAGGTCATGAGCCTCACCAGCCAGGGTCCTCTCCCACAGTACCTGAGCAGGGCATGCCCAGGGATGGCAGGCATGTTCAACCATGATTCATGAGTTTGTGGTAATGAGTCCTCTCTACAGCATAGACAGGCAAGGACCAAGTGGCCAGGACAGAGTTTAATTAGGGCTTCTCAATCCACGGGCAAAGGGTGTTGGGTGGAATACACAAAGGAGGTTGGTCAGGACCATCGAGGCCTATTAATGTGCTCAAGCCCTTAGAGATCCCTGCATTAAAACTGCAAAATTTTGAAAAGAGCTTCTCAATCTATTCCCAATGTAGTCTCTTGCAAGAGATGTACTCTGATAAAGAGATGACTTGAGACTGAGTAAGAAAGTTTTCTTTCAGCACAGATGAAGAAACAATTCATTCACTTTAGGGAGAAGCTTCACAGCAAATTGCATCCACAAGTACATTTCAAACAATATTTTTCCCACACAGCACCAATTATGCCATTGTGGAACCTCCTGATTCTGAAGGACTGGGAGGTTTCTTTGACAAATGTTATCATCAACGTTGCATTAAAATGCAAAATAGAGAAGGCAACCAAAAGATGCAATTTCAGCTCCTGAAATTTACAATACTAGTTTATTTTGCTGCTGTTCATTCTTATTCAAAGGGGTGGAGAGAAAAGGTAATTATTCTTGTCAAACTCTCCAAAACAATCAGCTCTTTTTCATACAGAGGACACAATACAATGCTGTTGGGTTGGGGTTTTTTTGTGGATTTTTTTTTTTTTTTTTTTTTTTTTTTTGGAATACCTGAATGTAATAGTTAGAAACATGTAAATGGTACTGAGCGGATCAATAGACAGTACAGGAACACTGAGTCCCACAGGCAAACCGAAAACCTACAGTTTTATCCTCAGATGAACCCCTCACCCCAACACTTTTCTCACAAATAAATTACTGTAGTATTGGACAAAGAGACTCAGATTAAAAAAATGCAGTGAATCAACAAATATAGGAATATTTACCTAGCAATTTTTTTAAAGGTCAGGACAGTACCATTTGATCTAGATCCCATTAGTTTTAATGGTGAAGAATGATTAAGAACCATTCCTGTATTGTGGGGAAGGAAAGGACTCATCTCCCTAGCCTCTAGCTACAGTCAGCATTACTTGGAAGGCTAGATAACCTCACTCATGGATAATTTTCACAAAGTGCTGAGATCATCTGAGTTCTCCCATCCAAATTTGTATTTGTGGTCAAAGACACTGGAGGAAGCAGGACTTTGCAGGAAGATACTGCCCATATGGTTTCCATACACATTTGTGAAGTCTTCCTGCCTGTCCCTCATGGGTAAAATCTAGTAAAATCTTATCCTTCTATCATCAGTAATTCTGCAGTCATAAAGCCTCTCCTGTCTAAAATGGCCACCTAGCCCAGAAGCTCTGCACCACCAAACACCTCTGACCTTGACAGTACCCTAGCAGACCACAATTCTTTGCCGCTGTAGTGCTCAGATCTGATGATCCTGAGAGTACAGATGCACAGCTCTCAAAGTGCTTTGCAGTCTATTTCATTCTTCTTTTGAGCCTCTCTGCAATTCCATAAAACTACCCAGATGCTTCTAGACTTTGAATTTGTGAGGCTTCACTGTTCTTCACTCATATGCCAGAAAAACCACCTGTGTGTGCACAACGTAAACGGTCACGTATTCCTACAGCATATAATCTGTTCACCTCACAATCCACCATATGATGCAGTAACTCTGAAGGAAACTTTAAAAACAGCATTTCTCTTTCTTCCCTCCCTCCTTCCTGCAGCTGCTGACACTCTGAGATGGTTCTTCTGCTTCCCTGTTACCACACCAGGCTAATACTTTTTCTTCAACACTACCCTACCAGCAGGAAACCCAAATTAACAAGCAGGGAAGAGGCCATTATTCTGGGCTATTCTGGGCTTTGCTGGTGCTGCAGTGTTTGTTGCAACACTGGCATGAGATTTATTTATCTCAGTAGGTGAGCATCAGTGCTATCCTCCACTTACATGCCCTAACTTATCCTTGCCTACTTACATGAGAGCTGAGATCGTCTTTCCTCACGCATTTCTACAGGACTGTGCATGATGAGGGCCCTATCCTGACCAGAATTCTACAGTATTACTGACAGGTATAACACGGTTTTCCTAATGAACTGAAACACCATTCAGCAAGATCTCATCTTCTGTCTGGAGAGTGCAAATGTGTTTTCACCTTTCATCTGTATGGCCTTGATGGAATTAAAAAAACGACCATAGCAACATCTGTTCCTCACTACTTTATGTTCTCTTTCCAAAAGTGTTCCTAAAGTCTCACGAGCTTTCTAGAAGATAATGCACTTGTTATTAGAAGGGAAATAAGAGACCAAAGGATGCTTTTTTCCTTTTTAAAATCATCTTACAAGTTGTATCTACCATGCCTTTCAGTCACTTAATAATAATTAAATCATTTTGCTTGCTGCTCTCCTTCAGAAATAACATACAGGTAATATATTTTTAATACAGCTGTGATGACAAGTTAATAACAATTATAATAATACTTATCACTTACACTGTGCAGTAATTTTTTGAGCTTAAACCTTTGCAAGCATTATCTAATTAAAACTTGCCTCCCATTTATCTGGGTAGTAGGTGACTAATTATCCATGTCGTATAGACTGGGAAAGTGAAACATATACAGTGAAGCTCTTAGCCAAAGATAGACACAAGCTGGTAAAGGAGTTAGATTCTACCTCAGGAAATATAACAAGTCTTGCTCATCTTATCTTCTAACTTCCTGCCTAAAGAACTTAATATAGTCAAAAGTACTGGCAGGTGATGGAATACACAGCAGTGTATCAGCTTAGACTAAAACAGCAGAAGAAAATATCTGGCTTGGATTACCAGAGTGTTTGAAAAAGAGCCTAATTGGAAAATTAACTGCTTATCACCTGCATCACTTTGTCCAAAATCCATCTACCACTTGGAGCTTGTTATGCTCATTTTACAACATGTCCTGATGTGGTACATGCACTGTGCTTTAGTAGCACTTCGGTTTATAACAAAGTAGTAGCATTTAACAATTTACAGTTCATACCTAAATTCAGCTGTTACTTTGGGGCCTGTCACACTGGAAATTGGAAAATACACCACTTTCCCTTCAAGGCATATCCAAGTTAAGGCACTTTTATTCTCCTGGTTGTAGGCAGAATCCTATGTAGGCAGTAGAACGTTCCCATGAGCATCTTGTTACTAAGGCTTACACTCATGCTATGAACATCAGGTGCCAGCAGTGTCACAGCATCTCTCATGGATATCATCAGAACCAAGATGTAGCCTGCTAATGACGATTCCTTATAATGTGATTATAAAGATGCTGAAGAGAAAAAAAGACCTAGTTTTGACACTGCTATGGCCACCAAATAGCAAAGTCTTCAGTGGTGGTGTGAGAACAAAACACTCCATGTGCCTCATTATTATCTGTGGAGTAACTATTGTCTGGAAAAGCTAGGGGTTTTCTAATATGCCTAGAATGAGCCATGAAACCAAAAGGCACAAGCATGTTGTCACCAATTCAGCATGCTGCCATTGTTCCTCAAATAATTTGCTGGAAAGTAATATTATCCAGTGCATAAAAGCTGCCAAGACAGCAAGTGAATTAGATGATCTTATAGTAACTGCAACTCTGTTTATCATGGGTGTATCCTGTCACATCTTGGAGAAGCAATAAAATAGAGCAGAAGCGTCACTCAGCCTCCTTTTGACAAGAACTCTGCTAATATTCTCTGCAAAATAAAAGCTCTCTTGTAAGACATATGGGAAAGGTACGCAGTGACAGAGGTGTGCCACAACATTCATCTTTTTTTGAGTGAAGTATCCCATCTTCAGCAAAGATGAATGTCAGCAGAGATGAGCATCACCTGGATATTTCGTGAATATGCCTTTCCTCCCACTGTCCTTCAGCTCAGAGGTTGCCCTCAGAGGTTGAGAGCTGTGCAGCAGAAACAATTAAGGGCATTCCAAATTCATGAATTTGGTACTTTTACCTGGTAAATGTAAATAGATGAGGTCCCCTGCAAAATCTGCCAGTCCGTCCCCCAGGATATGTGACCAGAGTGAACAGAAATGAAATGAGATGCTCTCCCAGAAATACAAGCAGCGTGGTATCACTGCAGTGATCGCATCTTCTCCTATTCTGAAGCCATCATCTGAGCAACCACAGACCTACTTTTGTCCACTCCCTACCCTAGCACAGTTTCTCATTACTGGGAATCAACTTGATAATCAGTGAAACAGAAGGGATTTGACGTTCAGCAGAGGTGAGAGTTCATGTGTATCTGTAAGAATTCTTGTGTACACAGAATATGTACAAACAGGGAATGAGACAGACAATGAGTAGTCATCCTAGATGAACATGTTGACATATACATATAATTCAATACAAAATTAGAAAACACCAAATCAATACAACTCCATTCTCTCATATTCTAAACAAGAATCAGATTACTTGATTAATTGTACAATCATGGTTTAATCTTGGAAGTCAGCTGCTGTTTAATCACTTTACAGTAACTATCTTGTTAATGACAGGATAAGCCATTGCTATATGGTAATTAGCACACGAAACTTGCCCAGCTTGCATCTGCTGGGCTTGCTCATTTTATCTTGTATCCAGAAGCCCCTACTGGAAGAAACCAGAGGTTGCAGGCATGCAAAAGGAATCCATTGCACCACAGTATGCTAGCTCTCAAGAGAGCAGCTTCAGAAGTAGAAAACGTGATGTGAATAAAGGTTAGTTAAGGTTTTCCATTCTAGGGAAGTTTCTCCCTTTTAGGGGAGAGAATTCTGCACGTGCCCTGTTCTCCTAAAGCAGATTTCAAGGTCTCACTTTTAGCTGTCTCCTGAAGTTGCGGGCACACAAAACACAGAACTAGCATCAATTTAGGGGCATTTAAAACACGGCACTGTGGTTGGAGGTTAACAACATCTATACAGCTAACAGGAGGAGAACTGAGGAGCTACAGACTGTTCACCACTACTTACTTGTAGTAGCTGATATCATGTCCTGCTCGAAGCCAGCGAGGCCTGCCCTGGAGAGCTTCCTTCACCGAATACAGAACCAGCTGCATGCCTGCAGAAAACAAGAGTTTCAAGTGACGCGACATCCCTGGCTGGAAAAGACAGAGATGGAGAGGAAAAGGGAAAACAAGAAGGATTATTATTTTCTCTGTGCTCTCTTGGCAGACAGTTAATGCAAAGTAAATATATTTCCATGCTTGGTTCTACTGTAACCATGTCAGTCCTGAAAAACACTGCCAGAAGAGAGCTGAATTAGGGTTTGTTAGAAAATAAATAATCCTGCTGGCCTTTGGAAAGGAAGACTTCAGCTGTTCTGTTTACAAACACATAGAGGAAGGGATAGAAGAGAAGAATAGGAATCAACATATCAAACAGATCAGTAATTTGTTTAGTACAGTATTTCATGCTTGGCTGCACTGTTATTGAATCCTTAATCTTGCCGGAACATTAGAGGCCTTGTGGTGCATCTGGAATTATACTTTCAGAAAGAAGCAAGAAAAACTGTCCTAGAGTAAGTTTTTAAACTTTCAATTAGACCTAAATAACACTGATTATTATGATTGATACTGACTACATTGAAGATCTAAATGCTGATAACAGCAGCATCTGTCTTTGTGCTGCATTATGCTGGAAGATGACTTCTTCCCGACCTCCAAAACGTTACTGTTTCAAGCCCTGAGCTATGCAGCTCCATCTGAACTGTGCACACGTTTATTCACAGCTCCATGAAGCAAGCCCATTTGCAGGCCATTTTTCTAGCAAATTCTTTCACTCTGCCACCTGCTTGCCCTGTTAGCGGTACAGCAAGGATCCTGCCTTTGCAGAGAGGCACTGGGTGGCCCTAGAGAGGTGTGGGCTTAAGATCTACACTGCTTTCAGCATCCCAAATTCCACCTCCTTCCTTTTCCTGTGAGTACAAAGCTCCACACATAACCAAACTGCCTCACAGTAATGATTGATACTGGTCTGACATCTTATTTCAGTTTAAAATAAATAAATAAATAAATAAATCCACTTTTCCTTTCCATTTTCCCCACAGAAACATTCCATTTAGAAAACAAACACAAATCAGGCTTATGAGACAAATCTCAGTATTTTCCAGGCTGGAATTCATAGGTGGAAAAAAGGGAAGGAGAGAGGTGGAAGCTGCATTTCCCAGCCTGCCCTGCTCCTTATCACAACTGTTTCACAAAATGCCTTTTCTGCTGATGTGAAAATTAGGCAGTGCTATCCAGCTGGGAGCAAAAGGGAAGAGAAGACTCAAAACAGGCTAATAATCAAGAGCTGTAAATTATTGCCACTCATGGCACTGAAGTCCTAGTATTATGACATGGGCATTAGCCCAGGGAAGCGCAAAGGAAATCCAGCAAGTAGGCAACACCTCTTTCCCACAGTCTGTGAATATCAAGCATGTGCTGGCAGGGGTGCTGAGCCTCACTCACCCAAGCTGAATAAGCTGGAGCACTTGTACTGTCTCAGTGCAGCAGAAGCAACCCAAAGAAGAGCTGTTTTAACAACCAGTCCCTCCTACAAGCCATGCTAAAGCATGTCATGGTTTACCCTCATTACACTGGATGCTTTTTCAAACGTTTTTCAGATATGTATTTTTCATTACATGCTTGAACATGCAAGTCATGTCCCATTTCAGTTTGCAAAAAGAGGTGAAAAACGTTGACAACAGACAAAATAGCAGATAATAAGCAGTCTCCCACCAAAAATACTCAGAATCTCAAGCTATGTGGCTGTACCAGTGGCTGTATCAAAGCTAGCAGTGGGGTTTGCAATAAGAAGGACCTCAATATACTTCATGTTCAGGCTGCCACCAGACACACACCATTTTTAATGGCTTGCTTATTCAAAAAGCAGAATAAGATGACAAACACAAAATTCACTTTCATTTGGGATCTATATGAGTACTTGAAGTTCAGCCCTTAGGGCTAAAGAGCAAATGCCTTATAATTCATTACGCCACTCATCCAGCTAGTCTCACAAATACAAGTGACACATCATTCCAGCTCCTAGTGCTATTATTTGTTTTAGGTACACTGATCCTGAGAGTGTTCCCCTTGTGATGTTGAAGGTTGTATCCACAGTGCTTCAGTAGAATGTGAAGTCTGATATTAAGAACATATTAAACATTCTGAATCTGGTCTTGAACTGGTGTAAATTAGCACAGCTCCATGGAAACAAATGAAAAACTCTCTATGCCAGCTAAGAATTCAACCCACAATCTTCATGCAGATTAAATAATTTTTTCTGCTAAAATGAGCACTGAAAGCTAGGATTTGCCCTGGCTATTTCCAAGCAATGCAGCCTTTCTCCTGACAGACTATGACAGGAACTCAAAAACAGCTTTTGACTGAATTTTTTGTATCAACAGAAGTCTCATCAGATCTAAAGGCAGAGAAATGTCTTTCAATAAACCCAAAAAATCATTAATATTTGTTTGAGCATTATCTTTATTTATCTAAATCTTATTAGAGCTCTTCAAATCCTGTGCTACTCATTCAATCCCAGAAGATCCCCTTTCTTTCTTCTTCCAACCCCAGTGCCGTTCTTCCTCAGTTCTGGTTTCTAATCAAAGAACAATGACCATTTTTTCCACAAATCCTATCTCAATACACAGTTCGCTCCTCAGTTGTCTTGAGGATACGGAAAGGTTATTTGTCAAACCTAAAATAACTCTTTTGGTGGATTTCAGTGCAAATAAAATGAAGCTTACTGTCTTCTTTATAGACGTGGAAATCTCAAAACCCTTATGGGATGCAAAGTATATCCATGTGAACAGAATGCTATCCCAATTTCCCCAGAACTCATACCGTAATTAAACTGGCTATTGAGCTTCTCACAGTTGATAACGTTGAAGCGATAGGGAACTGCTGATTTCATGCCACGGACTTGAAAGTAGAACCACTGGTGATGCTGGTTGGTGTTCACATCTGCATTCATAATTAAATCATACTCAAACCTGTTAATGAAGACAAAGAAATGGTGCCCATGAACATCCTACCAATCCACTACTGAATCTACTGAATGCAACCGAACGTTAACTCTGTCAAAGAGCTCCATCGAACCAGTGGCATCCAAACACACCTTCAAATATCCACAACATTTTAATCATGTAAAACTTCACGAGCTGTGCTTTCTCACTCCCGATTCTTTTAGGACATCTAAATATTGGCAGGTATCGTAAGCTCTGCATCATAAAACTTGCTGCCCTGGCTGGTGCTTTCAGAACCCAGCAGAACCCCAGCATGTCATGCAGTGAACAGAGTAGAAAGCCCGGCTGGGACACAGCCACTGCAGGAATACTTACTCACGCACTTGGATGGCTTTGCGAAGGTTACCCGATTCAAACTTGGAGAAGAATGTCAGACAGCTTGGAGCACCTGGGCTTGAGTGACTGCAGTAATTCAAAGCAAAGATACCAAATAAGCAGGTTGCTTCAAAGACAAGTCCACCCCAGCACCTTTTGTATATTAATACAGCTTTTTATAAGCTCCTCACAAGCAAGACCCTGAGAAGTAGCAAGAGATTAGCAAATCCATAATCTTTCTTCCAGCATCCTTCTTGACTCTTGCTTAATGATTCTAAATTTCATCTTCTTTTTCTTTCCCAGCAATCACTTTTGCCCCAATTCTTATCGCTCTTCATTCTAGTTACTTTCATCCCTGACTTATTCCCACTAGTTCATTAATTACACAAGCCAGCTCTATACAAGCTTTCCATTGTCTGTGATTAGACATAGTACAGGGCAGATGAGAAGGCCACAAATCAGACAAAACTGCAGTCAGTTTCAAAGCAAATCATTTTCCCAGGGCCATGTGCCTGTACTCTACTCCTGCAGTAAACGTTTCCTGTTGGGCCTTGCCTCCTACATCACTTCTTGCATATCTTTACCTGAGGTTAACCAAGTAAACAGAGCTCACTAGCAGCACTGACAGCGCCACTAGTTACAATTCCCTGTATTTAGTTCACTCACCTGGGCTCATCTAAATCAAAAACAGTTCTTCCAATCAAATCACCAGGCTGGATTAAGCGACGAACATCATCAAGTACTTTGTCCCTAACAAAAATAAAAAGGAGAAAAAAAACCCAACAAATTGTCATGACACTGTGAGAAGTCTCAGTAAAGGTAACCTAGAAGAAATGTGAAAAGGCTTAAAAAATTCTTCTGAAGGACTGGTAAGAAGAGTTCAGATAATTTCACATAAACTTCACCTGTGTTTACCTATTTACTTAACCATGAGAAAACTCATACTCTATTTCCATTACTACAAGTTGCCTTTTGGATGAAACAACTTATTCTACACAGTTTTTACTCTTTGCAATATTCAATCCAGTCTGTTTTATCCCTGGTTTCTTTCCAGTCAATTTCAATCCTCCAACTGGCCAGTCTTGCCCCTATAGGAAAATATCTGTCGTTACTTTCAGACCCACTCATCTGTCTCCCAATCTTCCCACTCCAAATCAGTCTAAGTTCTACTCATTATTAAACTGAGGTTCTCTGATCCCAAAAGAAGATCAGATGTGGAATGCCAGATTTACTTCCTGACCTTTGCAGCAATCACGTTATGCCCTGAAGCATAATATGATTATTCCCATTTTAGCTGTACAGTTACACATTATTACAATCACAAAAGCAAAGCTCTTAGAGCAACAGTGCAAGAAGATGGGATCATGAATTTGCCTCTAAACAAGACTTTTAGCTTTTGTATTTGCTACAGAAAGAACTCCCTCTAGATGTCAGAAAATAGTGCTTCTTCACAAACTCCATTTGGTTAGTGTTCATCATCTTTAAAGTTTAGCTCAGAGTCCTGTACGTTCAATCTCTTTGTTGTTTGGTTATAAACTCCTGTGTCACTAAAACAAAATGCAAACTCATTGCACACAGTCACAGATGGAACAGAAACAACAGTGGTTACAAAGAGAATTTCCTCTCCCAAATACAGCTTTTCCTTCCACTGTGCACCTGAAATGACAAGAGAACAGAAACCTCTAGCAATGCACCAAAGGGAAGACTCATTTTCATTCTTTTCATCGCGTTGCATGCCATAATTCTGGGTCTTGGTCTATCTACTTTAAAGAAAAGGCACTCACAGATGTTTCTCAGTGCTCTGACCAGATTTGGGCCTCACTGCATACATAGCTACACTGATACTGATATATTTATCACTAGCTAGGTTAATTAATACCAGTTTAGAATATGAGATAGGTGAGTGTTCATGGACTCACAGAAGCCATAAAAACTTCCCTCCAGCATGGCCTCTGCCACCTTTATCTACCAGACAAAGAAAGCAATGCATGGGCAAATTCATCGTTCCTCCACTGACACACAGGACGTCAATATCAGAAACAGGCCCGATGGTTTCTAATCCTGTTCCCAATCCAATCAGATGTAAAACCTAAATTAAAATATCCTGATGCGCAGCCTATCTTCCTGTGGCAAACAGTCCAACATTTGTTCTATGACTTCCTAGGCAACTCAGAGATGTGACAGTCAAAACCTAATCACATTAAAGCAGTCACCTTTGAACTCCATACTGCCGATCCAGCATGGGCGTGCCATAAGCAGGAGGCTGGTGGCCCCAGAAATCAGGGAATGCCAAGTCTCTGTAGGCTGGTATGGACTTGGTACATTTGGCCCTGGCTATGTAGAAGTGAGGGCTGTGGAATGGAATATTCCCTTGGTGTTCCTCCAGAAGGTCTGTCATTATTTCTGTGGTCTCTGATCTGACTCCAGAAGTAGGATCAATTGAAGGGTCACACTCAGGGTTAAATATTTTTTTGTACCAAGCAGCTTCTTTGGGGAGGGGACATGGAGAAAATGTATGACTCTTGGCTGGCTCTTCTTCATAGGAATTTGCATTTTGGACTGTTTCAGCAATCTCTCTCTTTTCACTGAGCAGACTCCTTGAGCATTTCTCCTTCTTTATTGAACTCTGCAGTGAAGCTTTGAAATCCTTCTCCCGTGGATCTGATTCTGCCTCTGTGTCACTTTGGGTCCTCCATCTATGGTTTGGATCTTTCACAGAATTACCACTTGGAATGAAATGAGATGAAGTGGAGGGAAGATTCTCAGTCCTGTCTTCTGACTTCTTCTCTTCTTCGGACTCTGAATCAAGCTCCTTTAAATTTAAAAAGCAGAAGAAATTAAAAGAAACTTAAGGACACATCATTGCCTCCCTCCAGAGAAAACCTTGCAAGAAATAAAGAGAAAATATTTATAGATCTTCCAAAATAATAAAATAATTTACCCAATAAGACAGCCAAAGTAGAACTACCTACCAGAATTCCTTTATCCAAAGTTGTTTCAATGGTAGTCCTCCGAAAATAAAAAAGATCAGATTGAGTAATATCTGATCAAAACCCACTGTTATCATAAATTTGATAAATAAATATCATTAAATATCATAAATTTGATAAAGATAATTCACAAGGCTCTTTTTTTTTAATTTGATGTTACAGCAGGTGAAAGGAGATCAATCTATCATTAAAAACTCCACCCCTGTTTTCATGCAAAAGTATAATTTAATCCCATTGAATTACTAATAGACACAATAAACCTGACAGCATTGTACATATAGGAGATACATTCATCCAATGGTCCTTTTTCCATGTTCATATTTGAGTCACAGCTTTCAGCTTTCCTAAATTCACTCTGAGACTTGTAATGAATGCCATACTCCTCGTTTTCTTGCCCCAAATTGCAACAGAGCAATTTGAATGGTGCATTTCAGTGGCAGTGCAATCTTCTCCATCACTTCTTTCAAACCACTAGTTGACAGTATTTATTTTCAACATCTCATTCCAATCTTGATATTGATGTTGAAATTGCCAGCAAGGATACAAATTATTATCTGACAGATTTCTCATGGGGCAATTGATTCAGTAGCACTTAGTTAATCCATAGCCAGCCAAATGTGCATCAAACATCATCATTCTCTTTCTATTATTCTTGATTCAGGCCAATAGACTACAGCAAAAGGTCTTAATCTTTGTTTTTCCAGCCCTATAAGACACCTGGGTTTGCTTTCGCAATGGGCTTGCCTGGTTATCTGCTGTCAGTATTTCTTTTCAAGTAATTCTTAACTTCATGAATACTTATATTATATACTATATAATAAGTATATTATATATACTTATAAATAAAGGAAGTCATGCCATGACTGTACCTGAAAATTACGGGAAAGTTCTGGACACATAGCTTCATATTGCCCAAGCTCTTCCTCTGGCCGGTCAAGCCCTGGCCTTGACCTCAATTTGTTTACATCTGTCTCCAAATCATAATCCTACAAAAACAGAGATAGAAAAATATGTGCATATTTAACATGACCCATATGCACTTCTACATGACTGTAAAAGTAATATTCTGCATAACATTCTTTGTTTCCATTACCATACTGAATCCTACAACTGCTCCTCCCAAACTCACGAGGGCTGTAAACTCAATTAATATAATGGAAAATGGAGGCACAAAAAGAGAGACTAGACTGTGAAAAAGGGAAATTTGGAGTTTTGCTATCTAGGAACATACCTGGAAATACTGTGAAAAAGCACAGTTAAAAAAGTATCTAGACCCACTTACTTATACTTGAACCTATTTATAAGCATGTCAGCTTGAGAGGATCCATAATAAGGGACATCAACAGCTACTAGTTGTTTCAGGGCACATCAACAATTTCCCTTATGTTGTGCAAACCAATAGGTATATGCTCTCCAGACACAGCTGGTAATATTTTGATTCAAAGAAACAATATCATTTTTAAAAAGTGTATTTACCAAGAAAATCCCAATAATACATGAAAGAAAAATGGCCTCACAAGCTACCGGCAAAATTGGAAAGCTTGACAGTTCTACCTTTGATTTAGTCAACCAAATGACATCTCTAATTAAACAGAATGGCCCAACTCAGCATCAGAGTTTGCAGGAATCAATTGCTCATATTTTACATTTCTCCCTCAACGTTGTTGATACACAGCTTTAAAACTCTTGCCCAATCAATATTCTGCACTTTACCCCCAACAAAAAAAACCAAACACAACAAAACAACAAAAAAAAAAAGCCCAGCAACTTTTAGATAGTTATCACTGAAGTAGGGATAAGAATTATATCTGAATCTTTCATGTTTAAAAGCAACCATGCATCTATGTGCAACGCTCTGTATCAGATCTCAGAACCAAAATGAAGTTTTGGTTCAGAAGTTATCTCATTGAGAAAGGTACACTGAAAGTTCATTACTTATTCCCTGCTTCATCATGGGAGATATACAACCAACATACAAAACAGATAGTAGTTAGAACTCATATTCAGAGCAAACTCTTAGGCAAAAACCACCAAAGAAATGCTCACTTCTGCTTGGTAAATACATATGAATAATGAAATGGAACAGAAGCACATGGGATGTTTCTGAATGAATAACTAATTAAAGGAGATAAATTCTCAGTGGGCCTTATTCCTAATGAGCATCTTGATGAGCTCTAAAATACAGACAAAACATACAGATAGGGCCAAGTTAGGATGCCGAGCTACTGATAGGGTTTTCATTCTTGTTTTGTTAGTTTTTATACTTCCTTTTTTTCATCGTGTGACAAATTAAATTAATACTTGGAGAAAAACAGGGCAACAAATGAAACGGCCCTTCCATAGAGGTCTCAATCATATCTAAGTAGTCTATGTTTGCAACTTTGTTTCTTCCCAAACCAAAACCCTTCCCCTGGACCATAATACTTCACACTTGCGTATAAGCTTGTACGTGTCTTCAGAACAGAAGTTTGCATGCTCAGCTCATGGCTAGTCTTCTTTCATTTGGTTTGCCAATTAGATCATGGCAGAGAGAGTGTGCAAAGGGAGAAAACAGAGATATTGAATATTACATCTTATTATTTGTGTGCAGCAGCAGATGATGGACGTATCTAGGTTCAAATGCCTCACCTACAGCTTAAATGAATTAATCTTTCTCTTACAATAGGTGTATAGCCCAACTATGCACTGATATGGGAAGAAAAGGAGGGTTAGACTTGCCTAGGTGATAAGCTTGGTAATTAATAGGATAAATGCAGGGGACTCTTCACTGAAAGACAGTCCTTTCTCTTTTTCCATCTTTCAATTATCATTATATTATTTTATTATTCATATAGCATACCCACATGGAGCACATATATCTACATTCTCTGTTTAGACGATTTATCAGGATGTCAAAATGGACAACAGTTTATTTTCCCCGTGTATGGATGATAAATAAACTGTCATTTACATACTTACTTCCTCTTTTCCCTCCACATCATCTTTATTCAGGTCTTTCTCCGTGTCTTCCTCACTATCACTTTCATTATCATCTGCAGAAGAGAGATACGGGCAAATGCATTCAATCTAATATCCCTCTCAGGCCCTCCACAGCAATACGTGCCATCTCATGTGAGGCACACATGCCTTCCAACCAACACAATCCTGATTAAAGCAGATTCCATTTCTTAATCTGGTATAAATGCATTTGGCACTAATTCTCACAGTTTTTAAAGCTCTGTTCGCTTGGAATCAAGCACTGCCTTTCAAAACCATGACAAATATCACCACGATACGGATCCAACTCTTATTACAAAGCCACAGAGATTTTCTGCTTGGCTGCAATGACATTACAGGATGCTCTTAATCTATATTATCTAGATTAGGGTATTTTACTGCTATCATCATTACAGTATCTGAGTATCTTCCATGTGCAACTGGAAGCAACAGAAAAAATGCTTGTGCATATCAGAGTTTACTGTTTCTTTGCTTTTGTGGAGTGGCTGTTCTGCCTGTGCTCGAGTTCTTACTTCCAGCAGGTGCTGAGATACATCATTTACTCAAGTAATTTGCCTGCTATCTGCTTTTATTTTAGAAAGGAGAAAGGATAATACGTCCCAAAATTATTTACTGAGAAGACTAGAAGGCAGTGCTATCACCAGAGCCATGCACAGGCAGTTGCCTCCATCTCTCTTGCTGTCATGGAACTGTGGCACTCCCAGCCTCTGCCACGCTCATTCTGTTCCATTACTTTTTGAATCACAGATGGATTTATTTACTTATACTATTTCCACCATTTATTTTAATCTTTTCTCATTTATTCTCCAAACAGAACCTCCAAGTGTCAAGAAGATGTGGGGGTGGTTCTATCCCTAATGAGTATCACTGTAATCCAGGCTAATTTTAACTACAAACCTCAGGATAAGGCAGATAAAACTCCTTTCCCCAGACACTACACTTAATTCTCACATCACGCTCCGTTTCCTCCTACCAAACTCACCCTTCAGCAATTCACCTTCAGATCCCATACATGGACATTCAGTCTTGATGTTCCCAGGAAGAGGGAAGGAATAGCAACTTCTCACTGTCACCAGAGGCAGAGGTTCCTTGGGGTAGCACTTCCGTAGAATCTGAGTCACAGTGGTTACAATTGGATCCAGATTCTTGCAAGATAAACAGTCCTAAGAACAAAAGAACAACAATATTAAGAAAGCCGGTGCCTCTTACAATTGCCCAGCCTACTGCATGTGATCTCCTAGAAATGTTCTTCTGATTGGAACATCAAACCATTACTATCACATAGGGTTCTCTCCCCCGTTTACAAAAAAAGAATAAAAAAAATTAAAAAAAAAAAAAAAATTTCTGGAGTCTATTTCCTACCGAAATAACGGTTCCCAGGGGATTTCTACTCCCATTTAAAAGACCCTCTCTGCTCTTCAACATTCGAGTCAGAGCATACTGCATCCATTAGAGTATAAACAGTAGCACTGAAGAGGTAAATTCCTTCATGCAGATATGAAGTCTTGCAAAGATCCTAAATTTTGAATGTCAATTCACAACAAAATCTATGTTTCCATATCTTTATTATTGCTGTCTCCAGAACTACGTCAGAACTAACACAGGTAAACCAGGACAGCTTCACCATCTTATCACTTTCCTCAGTACACTCTCTTAATGAGAACACTTGCTGTTCGCTCTTCTATATGGTTAAACATTGGACCAAATAGCCTGAAAGAACACCTTATATCACCTAGTCACAAAATACTGAATTCCTTGAGAATCTTAAATCTACTCTTACAATCCAATGTAGAAATCAGAAACATAAGGAGCTATGAGTCTCCAGGTATACTTGAAAGATTTGGAATATTTTTTTTATCTGTATTTATTACTTCACTATAGACAAGTGACAACTTGGTCTCCATTTTATGCCTTTCCTTACTGCTTATGAACCAGGATCATACATGAGTTTCCTACCTGGACTCCTTATTTTTATGGTAACAAGAACCTACCAGAGGCGCACACGTGCACCTTTAATGTAACAGACAGGCAGTTCAGATAACTTATTAATGCTGTTGCCCAAAGGCACATTGCCTAAACACACACAACGTTCACAAAACCAAAGCACCTTATTTTCCAAAATCTTCACATTTCCCCAAATACCATGTATATATTGTATCCATGCCACAGCCTTCACCAGACTGACTAATCTATGCAGCATCCTTCTTGAGGTTACAAGTTGTACCACGCTTACCAGCAAGCTGATATATTCAGTGATTTGGGACTAAGGCTTAGCCCATCAGAACAGGAATGCAATTCAAACAGCACAAATGTGCTGTATGTCTGAAGAGGGATATTAAAGTAAGTTCTAATATCATCTAAAAACTTTGGTCTCACTTCAGTACAGATAAAATGGTGCTCAGTGCTACTGTCTCACAGTCCATAGTCAGGACTCTGGCTGGACAAGAATTCAGCAGATGCAGTAAGAGGTCAGAAGAACATAAAGCCCTTTTTAATAAGCAAGAACAGAAAAATGGCTGGGTTGATTTTTTTTTTTTCCTTTATTTTTTTGTTGTTGTTATACGGGATTTTAGTCTGTTTTCTCATGTATGATTGAACAGCATTATAAGATTCAGTGGGATTAACTAGGATTCCTGTAGGGAGACTAGAAAAATCATCTAAAGCTGACATGCTTACAGGACTCGCTACAAGAATCTTAATATGTATTTCTGGATCTCTGGCTGCTACAAACAAGGGTGAGAAAAAACAATTTTGAAAGCATCTCCAAGGAAATTCTACAGCAGTTAGAGCAAAAGCCAAGGAAATCGATTTCTATTTCAAGTTCACCCATTCATATGGTATTTGGGTGCCTTAAGTTCACTTGTTATTGAAGAAAAGATAAAGGAAAGTTTGCATGTGGGGACAGAACAGCCTTGACTATGATTTACTAGACTATGGAGTTTACACGCTATCATTTACTAAGGAAAACTGTTCTGTTTTTACTAGAACACAGTGAGTGCTAGGCTACAGCCATCTTAATTCATTTCAATGTGAATTGAGCTAGTCAAGAGCAGGGCATTTTCATACTGACCATTTCCACAAGAGGAATTATTCAAGAACATTGCTTGAAAGTAGTGCTTTCCTTTACAGAAAATTAACTTAGAGATGTTAACAAACCTTCAGATAGAAAATTGAATATTGTGGACTACTTTCATTACTGTTCATAAATTGCTTTGAGGTTCTGACATAACATGGTTTACAGGTGACTGAAAAATGGTGTATCACTGTATAAGAAAAGATTATTTTTTTTTTTTACTGGCACCTGAGACATAGACAGGAGATTGCTTTGTTTGCATGTGAACTATCCTATTTATTTTGTAGTGAATGAGGGAGCAGAATGATTCCTTAGCCCAGATACCCCATGAACAGCTAACCTGAATTCAGGGGATCTGCTTTAAGTTCCTGTAGTTAAGCTTTTCTCCTTACAATCTGTAGTAGTCTTACCAAGACATTATAGAAAGGCTTAGATATTACATCAAGGTAACAGATAATTACACTAATAGAAAACATAGAGGAGAATATAGACTAACATTAACTTAGAACAGACTCTATATACCAGATGAGCTTAAGAAATCACATGGGCAGATGATATAACAGCAAAAGAATGGTCTATACTATGGTCTTTCCTAAAGCAGACACAAAGCAGTCTTCTTGTCTCAGAATAGGCAGCTGTCAGTCACTGCATGCACAAAGCCAGACAGTTGCTGATGTGAAGAAACTATTTAACTGCCACTGCAATCTAAGCAAGGCTTGGAAGAAGAAATGGAAGTAGGAAGTGTTTCATTTTCACAAATGATTTTATTATCTAAAATTATTTTTCATTCCAGGTGGAGTGGAACTCAATTTTTTTCTCCAAGCTCTCCACAAACCAAGTTGCACCTTGTCCCAGTCAGTGTAAGGAAATAGTCTTAGAACAGGCTCTTTCTGAAAAGTCATAAGCTTAAAGGCTGTAAAGCTATAAGCTCAGGTATTCTGGATACCCATGTAAGCCCAGGCACTTCAGCTGTCTGATAGTCCATACCATGAGCAGTTGGTGAGGAGTTCAGTTGAAAACCTGCCCTGTGAATGGGGGCTTCACTGGGGTTTGTCAAATCCATCCCAGCAGAGCTCTTTTGACTTCGACAGAAAAAGGGGGAAAAAGTGTTTCAGCAGAACTTTTCTAGCCAGGCTGTGACACCTTTAAAATCACATCAGTTGGCCAATTTGCTCAAGACTAAACACCACAGCCAGCACATTCCTAAAGGCATTACAAAGTTGTCTGCATACAGAACCGCTGCTTTCCCAGTCAGGAACTGCCTTGCTCTCTTTCTCTCCAAAGCCTGCATTTCTTCTTAGAAGGATGAACTTCCCATTTTCTCTCTACTATCTCCTTCTATTTCATCATCTATGAAGATGTTGATGAACTTTTAGTGGCAGCAGTAGTCTCCACATTCAGTCAGATCCGAGAAGAGCGAGATCTTACAGGGCTGCCAGACACCTACTGCTCCCCATCTTGAGGAGAGACTGACTACAACAAAGAAGAAATGAGCAAATGTGGAGCTTTGAGCCTATTAACTCTGGTAATTCCCCTTTCAAAATCAACCTAAGTATAGCATAGAGCAGAAGAGAATAAACTAGAGGCCCCTGAAGCTGTCATTTCCGCTCCACTTCTAACCTTTGGACAGATTAGCCTTCTCAGTGCTCACTGCATACTTAGTGTGTCATTTCCTGTTTATTCACCCAAGGTGACCCCAGGTTTGCACTTTTCATAGTGTTGCTCCTAGGCTGAGCTATCAGGAGATGTTAGCTTGGAAAAAAACATGGGCTGTAGAAGGCACTTGAGAGAGAATAAGCTGACATCTACCCCCAAGCAGCTGTTACCACACTCCCTAGTCAATTTTCTGCATATCAGGGTGTTGGCAATAAAGAGCTGATACTCCCTGAAAGCTCTGCTAGCTGTGGCCACCTCATCCCATCTGAAGGGAAGGCATGGGGGGGGAGGAAGAAAAAAACAAAACCAAACTTCTGTCATTCTATCTCCTACTGCTGGTTAGAAATATCTTTGTAACAAGAGAATCATTCATGATAGCAACAGAAACAGTGAAGAAGCAGATATATTGCCTTACAGTCCAGTGTATTTGATAGAGAAAAAGCAGATAGATGCTCATCCTGTATAGGATGGTTCTGGAATCGGTTAATGCATCAACCATTGAGAATTACAGTAGAAATACCCCTTGTGGAATTGCACATGTCAAGAACTGAAGGCTTCTCAGTATTTCAGTATTTCTCCAGTATTCTCTAGTGTTTCTCTAAAGGAAGCATGCTGGCAAGAGACAGAGAGGAGTACATTACTGTTCTATACGAGCCCTTTCTACATCTTACAGGGTTCCCATCTTCAGGACCATCATCTTTTTTTTGACAGAATTACATTAACGTTTCACAAGGTTAAAATTGGGCCTACTGAAAAGCAACTAATTGATGTTTGTCTTAACAAAAGCTTGGCTAAATCAACACTTTCTGGTAGAAAAGTGATTTAGTGGAATTATCCATCTGATAGAAACCTACGATACCTGAAAGAAAACATGTCATGAAACACCTTGAGTCTTCTGTGGAAACTCCGCACTGCACTTTGGGAGAAAATGTCCAAGCAGACAGTGGGATATGATGAAAAGAAAAAAAAAAAAAAAAAAACCATTAAAAATCCTGCTACAACTCCTATGAGGAACAGTGGGGATTAATATTAGTTTTAAATGGGAACATTCTCATCAGACTGAAAATTGTCAATAATTTTTATTTTGACATTATCATTTTTCACTCACGACAGAACTTCTTGCAGGATGTAACATCTAGATTTCAAGACATTTTTACACTGAGAGATAGGATGCAGTGCTAACTACCAATCCATTTCACTAAAGCACGAAGCACCATTTACCTGCACACTTGTGAAGAGAATCTCCATACCTCGAGAACCAAGGAAAGTCTCCCTGCCCAGCTGGATGTTGGTGATGTGCTTTAGGCAGAGCAGGAGACCTCTACGAATATAAATGTAGTTGTTGGAGACATCGTTGTGATGCCAGTCTTGATAGAGCCTCAGCAATCCACCCAGATAACCTCTGTTCACTGCTTGTCGACTGTTAGATTCTGAAATGAAAGAGAAAAGGATGAATTAAACTCTTTCAGCTGCTCATTCTATTTGACAGCCACATGGCTATGCAGTGCTTATGAACTCAGACTTTAACACCTCTTCCTCATCTCATGGACAAAGCTAAATCTTTTGTTGCTGTTGCAGTTTAAGATGTTATTTGTTAAATATGAGCTAGGTTCTCAGATTTACAAAAAGAAGTCTCACATCTAAGCAGAAACAGTTGGCCAGAAGACTAAAAGAATGAAGGCTTTCTTTTAGCAAACCAATGCTGGGGTAGGCACAGAGCCCTTATCTCCTTCCAAGTGCTAATAAACCTAATCCAGATCACAGCACTGTAAGTGTCTCTGAAACTAAAGAAACTCCGGAGGAGTGAGAAAAGCCAAACAATAAGATTAGCTGACAGCAGGTCACACGCTCTTCACATAGTGCATGTATTTTAGTCCTGACAGAACACCTCGCTGAGATCAACAAACACACAAACCTTGTAGCTGCACAATCCTGTCAACTGTGAACTTCTAAATACATTCCCACTTGTACCTCTATAATGAAAGCCATGAATCAAATTATTCTGGGAAATCATAGCCTGTCTCCTAACATCATGAGACAAAATAAAACCCCGAGTATATCAAAATTAACAAAATACCACCATGGACAGCATTTTGGGCTCTCTTCTGCTGCTTTCTGGTTTTGAAAAAAAAAAATTAAAGGCAATGTTCAGATCATTTTTGAAGGTTTTACAAAGCTCAAAAGATACTTTCAAAAATAAAAGCTAGTTTTATTAAAAAAAAATGAAGGGAAAGATGTTGACGCTCTCTTAATCACATGGCTCTAGGATACAGGACTCAACAAAGAAGATTAGAAAACTTGGTGATAAGTGAATTCTTCCATACGACCATTCTGCAGCACAGCCCTTCGCCAACTGTGCTCTGTGCCCTGCCCCACAGGACGAACATGAAACCATACCAGATTCCAGGCTCCCTCCCTTCAAACTAACCCTGCCTAAACACACTTTCCCAACCGGTCCTGACATTTCTGACAGTGATAACACATTAGAAGCTGCGAGGAGCTCGCCAACCAACCAAGGGACCAGGTAGCATATGTGAGACTGGAGCTCAACTCCTTGAATACCGATCAGAGTTTGCAGCTCACAACAGATGGCTCTTGGTATGGATTCTCCAGAGCTAGTAGGCTCCAATTCATTTCCAGTCCATTAAATAGAGTGCCAGAACCTCTCACACCTGGAACATTAATCAGCAAGGATTCACAGGGCAGGAGAAGAGAGAATAAAAAGGGAGAAAGACGCTGGATGAAGAAAATTGGGAGCAAGGAAGCCATAGAGCAGCTAGCATACAGCTAACCTGAATCCCAGTGATGTAACAGATGAAGATTTTGGGAAGGGGAAGTTACCTGCAGTCATCTTAGTTGCTCTCTACAGTATATCAGCAAACTCTTTCCCAGAGAAAGGACTGGAAGGCAGATCTGCAGCTACCTGACCTTGCCCTGCAGCTTGCTCTACCATTGCCATCACAGGGCAGGTGACAGTGTCCCAGCAAAAAAAAATGTCCCAGCAAAAAAAAATCCCTCACTTCAATCCTGATTTGCATCTTCACACAACTCTGCTGATGCCTCTGCACGTCACGCTGGCATTTCATTCTTATACCTTACGCACAGCTGTGCCCAGACTGTGCCCTGCATCTCTGTGCAGCCCTTTTTCCCCTTTTTAACCTTCTCATACTATCTGTACCAATACAGCTTGTGTTCTGGGGCTTCATGGTTGTCAGACTTTTAGCTTAACCTTCTCCTTTGACCTTCACTCTGTTTTTCTCTCCTTTTTTTTTTTTCCCCTTTCTTTTTTTGACTCCCGGCTAGAAAACTTTAATTGCTTGAGAATCCTTTATCAATTACTTTATTCATGATTTCCTGCTAATCCTCAACCAGCTGTCATGTTTACTAACCTGCAGGATGACTTACCCCTTAAATCAGTCAATCTTCCTTGAAGAATTACTCAGAGAGCTCTGTAAAAGTCAATAAGTGTATAAAACATGACAAGAAGAGTCAGGCAGTGTAAAGTAGGGACAATTTGGATCAGGCTCAGAGCCTCCCTTAACTCTTCAGAGGCAGATGAAGTTGGACTAGAAGTAAGGATTTACAGCCCCTAGCACTCACTCCTTGAAGTCCAAGCTTTCTGTGTCATTGTCAGCAGAGTGAGGGAAATACCTCACAAGAGCTGCTTGGGAAACTAAATTAAATAGAATTCTTATCAGATGTGCACATGAGGTTTTCATAGAAACATTAAGGTTGGAAAGGATCATCTAGTCCAACTGCCACCTTCCACCAACACAGCTCACTAAACCATGTCCCTAAGTACTACATCTACCCTCTCCTTAAAAGCCTCCAGTGATGGTGATTCCACCACTTGACTGGGAAGCCTGTTGCAATGCATCACTACTCCCTAAGGAGAGTCATGTCCTTCAAGACAGACTTCCACATTTGGATCCCAAATCCATGGGACCAGAAGACAGCTGTCCCCATGCCTCAGTCTTATTACTGATGAAAAGCACTGAGAAAGCTGAGAAAGACAGTTTTGTTACTTGTTTCCCTCATGTGCTCTCCTGCACTTATCTCCTTTAAGATCAGAACGGTCACTTTGGGAAGAGAAGCTGAGATAGTCAGTTCTGCAAGCAGATAGGAGAGGCAGGATTATACTTTGCCAGCACTTTCATCAAAAGCAACGAGCATTAACTGAAAGGGAAAGAAAGCTTTCATTTTCCTTCTCCCATTCCACTGATTCACTTCTGCTCTTGTGTGTTGTTTTTTTTTTTCTCCAGTGTTTTGGTTTTTCTCTTCCAGATTTTTTTCAGTTGTACAGTCAAAAAAAAAAAAAAAAAGTATCAAATAAACGAAGGAGGAAGCATGCCAATATCTCCAGAAGGCAGAACAGAAAAAGAAGGCCTCCCCACCTGTCTGTGTCTGCTGGTGTCTCCATCTAGGGCTGCACCTGCATGTGTATCTGCCTATACGTTGGCACAAATACAGATGGTGGAAATGAATCATACAGGTATAAGCAGAACTGCACAGATTTGTAGGCAGCAAGAACCCACCCCTCCTGGAGCAAGTATGCATGATCTGTGTTGGTTAAGCAGCAAAACATTCTACGCCTTTCGACCCTTTTTGTTATTATTTTGTTAGTCCCTTTCCTATTTTTGAGTGCAGCCAATGTTTTCAGTGGAAACAGAAATTCTCCTCCTAGGTAGCTTCCAGGAGTGTCTAGACATGCATGTGGTAATACCCAACGTCTTTTTTATTTCCACCCTCATTTAGAACTTAACACCCACTTCTGGCTTCCAGGGCAGTGCTGTTGACCAATGAAAATATTCTCTGCTATAATGACAAAATATCCGGCCGAATAATCCATTCAGTTAGTTAGGAGAATGTGACACAGATGCACAGCCAATGTGTGTCATTATCAAAGGAGAGATGCATCTGAATTAGCAAGGGACTCACACAACGAGGAAATCCACAATTGTGAAAGAATTCTGACTTTGCAGTGGGGGTCAAAGACAGATGAAAGCCAGGTTTTGAGTCTAGCAGATAAGACTTAGTACTGCTAGTGGGGCTTTGGCACCAGGGGGAGCATTTATGAGGCTCTCTCTTGTATGCCAGTCCTTTTGAAGCATTTGCCAAGAACACAGGGAGCACTGGAAAACATGCAGCATTTTTAATCACAAAACTGAATTACGGTCAACCTGAAATATGATGAGCAATGCATTGCTTACCAGGCAGAACAAAGAGACTTATCTTTCCATCTATCTACTTAAATCTCTTTGTTGATGCCACTCAGCTGATTCATTATGCCACAAGCATATATTGCTACAGTTTGGAGATAAGAACGCTCTGCTAGATTAACCCTATGGCCCCTAAGGGACAAAAGGAAGAACAAAATCTTCAGCTTCTCTGCTCTTCTCCAGTCACTGTCTCTTAGCAATAAAAGATACAAGTGAAGTGAAAACATCTATTCTATTCTGCCATTGTGAGACCATTTTTTGCTGGAGATAAACATGAGGGTGCCCTGCAGAAACAGAATGAGTTGTCCTCAGAGAAATCTTGTCCCCCATCCAGCTCCGGGATAAACCCATACATGGTAGGCTATAGAGTTCCAGCAAGAAGTCACTATTAGACTCAACTATTTGGGAAGGTAGAAGGCTAATTCTGTGCCATAAACTTCACAGGCATCCTTGAGAACCAAAGCATTAATTTGAGCATTTAGGACAGAGGTCTAACACTTGCACAAAGTAGAGGCAGGACCTGCTAGCACATATAAGTTCCTGGTCTAGGTGCAGAGACACTGTATGTTGTGAGCTTAACGTCAGCACAAGAACAGCTCATTTTTTCTACTCTGAAAGTTCCAGGTTTTGGACTGTAAAGTAGTAATCATATAAACTATATAATGAGGTGGCAATTCTTCACTAATTGGCTTCTGTTGCATTGTTCATATATATAAAAGAAAGCAAGCCAAATCCTTCTGAGATTTTTGAACTAACCTCAGAAGGAAAGTGATCTTCAAAAAGATCCCTTTTCCTCCTTTATTTTCCAGTTTCAAAGCATCTTCGGGTTGTAGCCCAATAGAAAACCAAAAATAAAGTTAAAAAAATAAATAAATACTTTCTGCTTGAAATTTCCAGGTAGATTTTTTTTTTTTTTCCCCCTCAAAGTGGTTTGAAAGTTCAGACAAGGATGCTAGAATTTGGAAGACTTTTCAAAAATTGGCCACTGAATTTTCTGAAGCCCAATCATCACTGGAGGCACAAAGACACTGCCAGGACACAGACAGTAAGCAATCACTGTTAAGGATATCAGCAGAGAACAGTGCAACTTCTTGACACTTAACTCCTTCACATCCACCCTCAGGAGCAAAACAGCAAGAAGCTGCCATGCCCCAGGAGATGAATGAACCTTCTTCTGTAAAGAACTTAGTGATTTTGCCTGGGACATCTCTATAGATGAACATCAGTCTTCGAAAGGGTATAAAAAGGAGATTGAATCATTTTTCCCCTCTTATAAAGCTCTTCTCAAAGCGAAGCTTTAAATCAGGATCAATACTATCTGCATTCTGAAACTCAGGAAGAAAGCACAGACACAGAACTTGTTTTAGATGATTATGAAGCTATTTGCAAAATTCAACTCTGATCACATTATTTCACGTTATCCCACAAATACTGATGATAGGTTTGAGGCCAGACTGATAATGGAGTCTCAATCCAGAGGTTGGAAATGAGGTCTTAAAATGATTGTGAGGAACAAGCATCTTGCAAAATACCTGACAAATCACTGACATTGTGCTGTGTTTAACCATAGGTCTACTTTGACACAAGACCAAAGACCTATAATTCAGTAGATCTGTTGCAAAGCATTATGAATTCAGGCATAGAGGGTGCAGGCCATTCAAACTGTAATGTGTGCTAGAACACTGCTTTCTGTTCCTCACAGTTACTCGCCCCTACTTGATGCCAGCATAAAAGGAAAAGTATGACACTGATTATTTTATCCTGCCAGCCACAAGACATAATCCTTATGCTTTGATGAAAAAAAAAAAAAAAAAAGTGGGTGAAAGGTTAAATAAAGGTTAGTTGACAGAAGATGAGGCAGAAGGAGCAGAAAGTGAGAGATGAAAGCCTGGGGGGGAATAAGGGAAGAAAAGAGGATCGAGACAACAAAAGGAGGAAGGTAAAGATACAGAAAAAGAGGGGAAAGGCCATCTGCAATAACTGCTGTTCGCACATGGAATTGTCTTGATAAAAGAGGCATGATCAGGAGGTCAGCACAACCTGTCTCTTTAAATTGCTCATTACAATTTTACTAGGCAAGCGTTGCAACAAGGGCTCTGCCCATTTCCCTAACCCCTTCCTTCAATATCTGCTGAGCAAATGCCTCCGAGATCAGCTCTAGCTAATTTCCTTCAAGGCATGCAAACTGCTAATTCTGGGAAGTACAGATAGTCAGGAATAACAAATACAAGCAAAATGAGATTAAAATAACCTGCTGATAAACAAATTACTCACCAAAAAATAAATATTGGATTAAGCTCTGGTGGGATAGGGTTCCCTATAATCACATCGCCATCGTGTGGCTCGAGGTGCCACGTCCAGCAGGGATCACACCAACTTCATGCCTGTCCACGCTTCTGCATCAGGCATCCCTTTTTCTTCCTAAAACTACAGTTTGTCTTTTTTCTTTTGGATGGGTGAGTTCACCCAAAGCAATAGCTTTTAGATGTGCAGAGAAGCAGGACAAAGCCAAAGGAGGCAGGAAAAATAGCAGATGTGCCTTGGGACGGAGAAGAGACTCTGGGAAGTACGGTGTACTTTGCTCTACCCCTATTTCTCTATGATTACCTGTATCTTCACATGCTGTAATAAATATCTAGAAACTGAGGGAAGGATGGACAGAGGTAGCACCAGTGAAGACTTGACTCGTATCCAAGAGAAAAGACTCCTGATGCTATGTTACACAGCACCATTACATCTATTTAATAAACAGCATATCCAGCCTACTGTAATGTGATAATGAGCTCAGCCACTGAAAAAACGGCATGGTGAAGAGACAGCAGAGGAAGGCCTCACTACAAGCTACCCACTGACTGTACATGGGCATGGCCAGTGACACACAACAACCAGGAGGGCAACACACGGGACAGTACTCTGGATTGCTTAGAAAAAGATAAGGCAGGAGTGAGAGCGGATAGCCAGGTGTGAAACATCTTTTCCCTATCTGTAATCTGAGCTTCTACTGATAGAAAGATACGGCACTTTGTTGGAAGTGACCTAAACATTATTCAGCACCTCCGTGACTGTCACTGTTATCCATTCATGCATAGGGGGACAGGATAATCAAGATCCCTCTGGTCTTGTGCTGGGTATGCGAGTATTTCTTCTTTGTTGCGGACAAAGGGTAAATTTGCAGTGCCTTTTCCTCATCCTCTCTCCACTGATGATTCTTATTCTGAACCATTTTCTTACACATAGCATTATGCACCTGTTACAGTGGGCATTTTGCATCTTCTTCTGTTAGGAAAGAGACAGAGGCCAGAGAGTTTCCAGCCAGGCATTGGCTCTGCAGAAGGACTAAGTCTTAAGCAGAGCTTAAGGAAGCCTGAGGAGATGAAGAAGGATATTTCAGAAGCCATCAGGGAGACACACTGCCATCTGCCTGCACCCTTTAAAAGTGCGGGGTTTTCTCCCATGGCTGTTTGCTGCCAGAAGCAAGAGGGACAGTTTCACCTCAATATCTTCCATGCATAACCATAACCCTCGTGCCTGCTTCGAGCTGAAGCTTTTAACAATCCAACAGCCCTGCAGGGAGATCAGCAAGAATAGGTGTGCACTTGTTCTAACATTCATCAGATTTGATTTTCAGCTTTCTAAGAACTCTAAGGTCATACGCATAGATAAGTTAACTGAGATAAGCAAAGCTGTGCTGACAATCACGAAAAACAATTCAGTTCTTCTCCTGCCATGTTGACTATGGAAAAACCAGAGATGCTTCTCACATCCCCTAACCCACACCTCCCAAAAGGCACAGCCTGCTAAGCTGTGTGCAGCTACACCAGAAACCTGGAGCTTCTAGTTTCTCGAGCTTCAGGACAAGACAAAAACCAAAAGACATTCTGACCACTGAGCAACAGCCTGCAGAAAGCATCAGAAAACAGAATACAAGCTGCCCTGCAGGCTGTGGTGCTCTACTGTGCATCACAGTGATCCTCCCAAATGACAACGTAGGGACTGCTTTGCTCTCTGTCCTTAAAATACAAGAAGCATAAGAGAAAGAGCCCAGATGTCTCCAGAACCCAGATTGGCTGAGAAGAGCCACAGAGAAATTTATTCTAAGAGTAAGTATCCTTAAAACTTACTTCACTCCAGGAAAACAGAAAAGAAGAAAAAAAAAAAAAAAAAAAAAAAAAAAGCACCAGGGGAATTTGGAGCTGAATCCAGTCCTTCCAGATTCCCTAGAAAATCCTCGGCTCACAAAATGATTCCCCCCACACAGCACTGACTTCTACAACATGGGTTTAGAACTCTTTATGATTTCCTTTGGTGATTAGTTTTTCACTTCTCCATATCATCCTCATCTCTAGACCCAGAACGAGCCTTGAAATAGGAAACTAATACTTTTAACATCCTGGGCCAGCAGAATTTCACTTCCCGTTCCTGGTGCCTGCCATAAAACAGGAGTGCAGGAGAAAAGCTCAAGCTGCCTGATGAGCTTTCAGCTCTTGTTCCACTTTTCTAGGTTTCTGTCTGCACTCCTTTCTATTCTAAATGCTAATTTTGCTTTTTATATTGCAAGCAGCTGTGGCATAGCCCCACAACCCCCCTTATTAAGATTTAGTGCCCAAAGCAGAAGGTCTTTCCTTGTTGCAATAACGTGACCTTTAAATCTATGCAGCAAGGTTAATACTGGAGCATCGTTTCAGAATTCATCACTGCAACTCAGAGACAATCCCATTGCAATCTGCTCATTTAAGCACTGCTTTCAGGACTACAGATTTTCACAAATGCATTATTCCTAATACTGTAAAAAGGAAAAAGGGAGGGGAAGAAAAGGATGGAGAGAGAGAAGGACAGTACACCATTGTGATTTATTGGAGAGTAGATAGTCTGCAATAGTAGAGTGCTCTTTCTTAATCAAAGCTTTATTAAGTTCTAGTAATAAAAGGTAAGTGTTTTTGGATAGGAAAAAGGCAGGAAAGGGTAACACGTCCATTTCAGGAACAGTCACACAACAGCGCGTGACTGAGAATCCCTGTTAACATCTCCAGCACCCACAGCCAGCTGGTGCAGATGCCAAGCACAACCTGCCTTAAGTATGCCCCAGCAATGCATAGGCTGCAGCCCTGTCTTTTAGGTCTGCATGAAATCGCAAGGGAGAATAAGGTCATGCTTTTTGCAGTGCAGAAGTCTTCCAAGCCTTTTCCAATAACAATAGTGTTTCCAGGTCAGCTCACAATACAGGAGCATCACAGGACAAAGAAGTCTTCAAGCCACTTCCCGGTAACGACAGAGCAGAGCAATGAGCATTATTCACTGCCTGGACAGCTTTCCCCAGTTTTTTTCCCTGTACCAAGCACCAGGACAACCACTGTTCTCTGATTATTCAAAGTAAGCATCTCACTTGGTTCCCTCAGCAACTTGATCCTGGGATCTAAAGCATCTCCCATAGATATGCATGCCTACAGAGCCACAAGGTGCTGAAAAGCACTGCAAGACATATAAACAACTACCTCTTTTTATTAAGCAGTGCTTTTTGGGATTTAGGGGGAAGTGGATACTAAAAGAGAATGAGGCTCAACAGGATCATTCCGTTCAGCAGCACAGCACAGAAAGAAAAGTCATACTATGAAGAAAAACTTACTTGATTTCAGCAATGCTGCCAGAGCCTCAATGGCTGCCCTGGGGAAAGAAGAAAGATGGAAAAATGTCAGTTTCTTTGATAATTTTTTTAACCTTCTTCTTCATGATCTTCTGGGTCAGGCTTTGCAGTTGGTCTAAACTGACAGCTTGAGCTGCAATGTCTTACACCAGCAGAGAATCCAGTTTCTGCAGCTGACTCAGTTATTCTAAACGACCATTAGCCCTCTAGCTTTACCGTTACACTGATTTGTAGTGACCATTAAATGTAAAGAAACAGCCATATACCCAAAGTAATGAAGCAAGTCTTTAAACTACTGCCCTAGAACCATTTCTTTGTATCACACTCAGCATACACCCATTCCAGACATCAATGCTTCCATCTACATCAGCAGATAGATTCTGCATCGGATTGGGATGTCAGCATTTTCCAATAGATTCCACTCCCTCCTCCATTTTCCCAAAATAAACTTCCCCTCCATTCCCCTTTCCACCTGCTTAAACTGAAAATAAGGTTCATTTCCTTATAGTTACGTCTCGTACTGCAGCAGCAGGTAAAGGTTCCCCACTCAGATCAGGGCTTGTAAGAAACACGTTAATGTAATGTGATTTGCCCCTAGGTCTTAAAGAGTACTAGCAAAAGAGAGATAAGCAGAGATTTTTTTGTCAACCTTTACATCAATTCAATGCACAAGTAAGCAACTCAACTTGCCTGACTCAGCATAGCATCAATCTAAACGGGAGCCAGAGAGATCTGCACTGAGATATACTCATTTCCCACATGGTATTAGCTCCATCCTACCAGCCACTCAGAAGGTTTCCCTTTCCAGCCATGTTCTGCTGGAGCAAGAAGAGCCATGTACCAACCTGGCTTACTGCTGCGAAGTTTCAAGCGCCTATAGCTTATTGAATAAATACAGCTGCAAAACCCTTCATGCCCGTGGATTCCTTAAAATGTAATCTCTTTAGAAACCAATCCCCAAATAAAATCACATTAACTTCCATACTGAGCCAATTATCATCTGCAGCAAAAAATTACTGTTTTCTTTTTTGTCATCAAGCTGCTGTCTGTTGCATGTTGTAGCAGTGGCTGAGACTGAGAAAGATTCAAGATCTGGTTCTTGCTGATGTTGGGTTGGTGTCTTTGTCTAAGGTCATGCTTCCATAATTAACCTGACAAAGTTCAACACCAGCATTAAAAAAAAAACCCAAGCAATCACCAACTGCACACATCTGCATAAAAAATACTCAAGATTTAGGGGGAAAAAAAAGCAACAACAACAACAAAAAAAAAAAAAAACAAGAAATAAACAACTAAAATCCCACCCACCAGGGGAAGTACAGTCATGCTCTCATTATTTTACTTCCACCCAAACAGCAGCCATTCAGCTGGTGGGAGGAATACTGTCACCTACCAGCCATTCTGCACACTCAGGATAGAGATGTGCTACATCCAGTGATCACTTAGCCTTTTCTTAAGTACCCAGCTTGGGACAAAGTAAATAGCTTTAAACAAATTACAATTTTGCCCAGAGCTCCTCCCAAAGCTCACATGCGTGTTTTAAAAGAAAACATTACGTACCTAATTTCACAGTAGTCCCTGTGGGCTTTAGGTGATGCATCAATCACACACCTGAACAGCAAAGGAGTGGAGGAAGAACACAGGTATTTCTAGATCCATACAGAAGAGGCACCTCATTTACTGTATGAATTTTCTCAATTTCCACCTACTTTTTTGAGCAACACGACAGTCCTGTAGCTGTAGCTAGCTAGATTTCTCATTTGCCATACTAGCAGCCTAGACACTGCCTTATCTCAGTCCATGCCACACGTAGTGCTACAGTAAAATAAAGTGGAACCAAACTAGGGCATTTCGTCTCCTAACTCACTGCAATTCAGAGATGATTTGACACAGGTAATAGACAGTGTTCTGTGTGACCTACAGAACGTGCTCTACAGGTACTCATAAGCAGGTTCAGACCCAGTAGGCTAACCTCAATAGTACGCATTGTTTTAGAGTACATACTGAAAGAAAGAGTAATTAAATACACAAGTGTAAACTGCCAAATGGATCAAACATGTTTAAGGGACAAAACAGACTTAAAAAGTAGAGCAAGCCGGCCTAACTCGATGTATTTCTTGGATAACTGATTTTTCTAGACAAGTGAAACACAGCAGATCTCATTTCTCTGTTGTTCAATAAAGCTTTCGATATGGTGCCACACTGGAAATGAGTGAACTGGGAGAAGATGAGTATTAGTACAAGAACTGCAAAGGTGGGAGAGGAACTGGTTGAAGAGGCACTAGCAGGAGATGTACAGCAAGAGAAATTATTGGACTGGAGGGAGGTCACACGTGGAAGTTCTCAAGGATGCATTTTGAGGCTGATCTTATTTTATACTTTCATTAATAACCTCAACACAAAAAGTCAGAGTAAACCAACCAAATCTGCTGATGGTGTGAAGTCAGGAGCTATTACCAACAGTCGGGAGTTTGGATTATCTTTCAGGAATAACAGGATGTTTTTGAGTTCTGAAGCAATAGAGGTGGGATGAAGTGTAATGGTCAAAGTGCAAGGTTATGCATTTAGGGCTTAATAAGTGTTAATTATGAGCTGGGGCTCCTAATCGGGAAGCACCCTGGATAGATGAGCCCATTAGAAGATTAGGACAAGTGTGACCCAACAGGGTGAAAAGGACAGATCGGGTCTCAGACTGTCACTGCCAATGGCAAAAGGAAAGCATGAAGGTTTTAACTTCAGGTTTCACTCAAACAGCTGTGTGCAGCGCTTGAAAGGAAGACGCAGAAAAGGGCTAAGAAAACAGAGTAGCAGAGAAAATTCAAGAGCCTTAAAGATTGAAGCTTAGTTACTTTAGCAAAATAATGGCTGAAAGGTGACTTGATTGTTCTCCAATCTCTCCCACTGGTGTGGGGAGAAGTAAACACTGCATAAGACAGAGAGCTACTCAAACTGAAGAACAAAGCTGGCACAAGGACAAATAGATATAAAATGGCCATGAATAAGTTTCAACTGGAAATTAAAAGAAAGCTCTTAAGCACTGGAAAATGAGGCTCTGAAACATCCTCTTGGCAGAAAGAGAATGAACAATGTAATGAATTTGAAAAGGGAGCCCGAATTTGTTTATAACAGGCAGTGGCAGGAGAGCTCAGGTGCCAATGAGGTGCTCTGAAAAACCTGACCCAGAAATCACAGTAGTTCTATATACCTTAATTTTAATCATACAAAATGGAACTGAACGATAAACAGTTTCTCCAAACACAAAGTTAACTAGCCAGGCTAGAAAAAACTAGCAACACCAGTGTAAGCAGGAAGCCCAGGCAGTCTGGATCTTACATCCAACACTGCTCTAGAAGTACAAAACCAGAGTAAAGATGCAGTGCTAGAACTTCCAAAAAAAGCCTCTCTTACTCCAGCTGTTTGCCATCCAGAGATTTCATAAGCTACCACTGGTGCCTATGGAAGTTTGGTGGTTTTTTTGTTGTTGTTGTTTTAAGTGAAATTTATTTCCCTTCCATGTATTTTTGAAGCTGTGCAAACTCTTCACACATACAGTATCCCAGGAAAGAAGAGCATCACACAGTGCAGCTATGAACTCTCCTTGCATATATATTTTAAGCTTGGAGTTAACACCAGCATTATAATTTACACTTCAAGTCAGTTGTCAGCTAGTAACCCCAGAATATTATCTACCTTTAGCACAGAACAAATTCAAACATACAAAACACCCTACAGGAAACAACAAGTCAGAAAAGAAAAGGCAGAATGGGCTTCCACTGAGAACAGCAGCAAGTTGATGGATGTGTCAATGGGCTTACAGCAATCCAAGGCAACTTGTGTTTGTGATACCAGCACCTCTTAACAGCATATGGTAAACCAACAGCATCTTTTCTGGCATCAGAAGAGATAATGAGATGAGTGAATCTGGGTTGGGAAGACAGAAAGGAGATAAATAGCGCATAAGAGCAAGAGAGAAAAATAAAAGACGGGAACAGGAGGGAAAGTTTAAGAGCAGAAGAAAGATGTCTCTATGAGCCATATGCTAGACCTGAGGATTTGACAGCATGCCCAGTTCAGAACTCTGCATTTGTCTCAAGAAGGAATAAGGGATAAAACGTTTCATTAAAAACAAACTGGCGAAGCTGTCCAGATGCCTTCCTCTGATTTTCTGTTCTGTGGCATTACGTTACTCAAATCCTTCACTGGGATTGACAGAGCAGGTATCTCGAAGGAGACTCATTCATATATTTCAATAAAAAGATGTATAAATAAAGTTGTGCTGTCTTAAAAGGCATAATAATAAATGCCACACTGTAATCAGAAAACATTAAAAACTGCCTGTAACAGCAGTGCAGACAGCAGCTCTGAAGAATGGAAGTCTTTTGAAGTGTTTCCAAACCAGCAGCTTGAATATCAGGGCAGGAGTGCAGCTTGCAGGCAGATAGACAATCAGCTTCCAGATCTTGTGCTTAGGAACCAGGAGCAACAACAAAGAGAAAAATGTGCTTCCCACGCCAAAGAAGAATCGGATTAGCCAAAGTCAGGCTGTTCAGCATAGACAAAGAAAAGTCTTTTATTATTCTATTATTCTATTCTTCTATTATTATTATTTGATGAGGGGGTCACCCCATCAGATCTGGGCTATTGGGACAGTGTCAGCTGGAAGTACTGCAGACAGAGGAGACCAGGAGGCAGCTTCTCTTAAGTCCCCTTCCCCACTCTGATCTCAGCTCATAAGGCTGCAGCTCTTAGCATTGCTATGGACAACTCTGTTTCTTGAATTGATTGCTTACTTCTGTTCTGCACACCATTGAAGAAAACCCCCTGGAAATGAAAAATGTTGTTACAGAAGGGATGCCTGGTGAACTACATGAAAGGATTTGAAAACTCATAGGGCATGAGGAGTTTGGTGCCCATCTGTTCCTTGTTACTATGGACAGGGAACAGATGAGACGCTAAAGACTGAACAAAGAACTGATCCAACAGGGCTTTGTAAATCAGCTCCCAAGTAATATAACCAGCA